AAAAGTAGCTGGTTGGTGGTGTTGCACGCCTTTAATCCCAGCACTCAGGAGGCAGAGGCAGGAGGCAGGAGACAGGAGAGTCATCCATCTTTAACCTACAGGCTTAGCATATCTGACAAACTTTTCTGTGAAGCAGGATATTTGAAGGACCTTCCTACCTTGTCTTGGCAAGGTTTGGCAGTCTTTTCTTTTGTGTCCTGCTTGTCCGGTTTAGACAGCATCCTGTCAAAAGTCAAGACAAGGGCATTTTCTTGCCCAGTGGCTAACTTTTGCCACAGTGAAAGTAAACTCCATAAGGAGTTTCTTCGATGCCCTTCATCTTCTCTGAAGTAGACTGGTGCTGCCAGGAGCAGAAATGTCTCATTGTCATTAAAAAAAAAAATCTATGTTATTAAAACATCTTAAATGCCATATTCTGTAGATCTCTGAAGTGTTTAAAGATGACCTGTCTATCAAAAATATATCTGTTTAACCTTGAAAACATACCTAACCTGATTACAAGTTTGATTGTAATGACTAACTACTAACTTGAATTTCTTTATATACTAATTAGCTTTCAAGGACTGTCAATTTGCATTACATTCTTAAATGAACTGTATAGGTACAATACCTTGAACAAGAGTAGAAATATATGTACAGTATGTTCTAACAAAATTAATCTCACATATTTGTCAACATACAAAATTTGTATACAATATACAAAAATCCAATCCAATGTAAAACATTTAAAACTAGTAGTTGCTTTTTAAAAATAGATTCAATAATCTACGTTTTTATCATATCCATATTCTCCCTTTTTTCTTTTCAAAGTAGATTCAATAATCTACTCTTTTATCCTATCATTTCTATATAATTTTTTTCAGAGTAGATTCAACCATCTACCTTTTATCTTATCATATCTATATCATCTTTTTTTCTTTTCCTTTTTTTTCAAACAAGAACCCTGAATCTAATTCCTTTGTTTAGCTTTTTGTCCTGACTATTACCAATAATAACTTCAATCAACCACCAAAACAATGACAAATATCCATAACTCATTGAACAACCAACAACCACCCACCCCACCTCTTCAGAATATGTGCGTCATGTTCTTAAATTTACTTCCTGCCGTCTGGGACAAAGGCATCTTTAGGGGATCCTGAAAAGAAAAATTTTGGGCTAATTGTCAAATCATGGGAGAAGTAGCTGTATCATTTGTTGTCCAGTCTCTGTATAAGGGGAAAGTGCTGGGCTAGTCTCAAGTCCTGGCTAGAAGAATCTGTGAGGCTAGATTATGTCAGGTAGCCATCGTGAAATTGTCCTGAGCAGTTTGCAGTCCAAAGCCGATCTTTAGGCAGTGTTGGTCAGCTTAGTGGTCTTATCATCGTCCTGATGGAATCATCATTGTGAGATCCTGTCATCTTTTTGGAGACTTCAGAGATAGCATTAGGTCAGATTATTCCTTTTTTTGGTGATTTTTTTGGGGGGATAGTTTTCCCTTCTTCTTTAGATGTTTATTTGCCCTAATGTCTTTAAATTCTTTAATATGGTTGTTTTTAGTTTCCTGAAAAGACAAAAACAAAATCCTTCCCCAACCCTAACTTTGGGGAGTTTCTAAATTTACTCTTTATCAATTTTGATTTATGGTTTCTCCTGATTTTTTGTTCTCTCTTCAATAACTATTCTATCATCCATAGCAGTATGGTTTTTTACAATACGCACTAGGTTTTATAATTGCTCTGGGAAGGAGTTTCTTCCATGATGGCAGGAAAGGACTGAACAGAAGTTACCATGGGGGCCTGCGAGAGGCCCCCTGGGGCGTTTCATCACAGCAAAAAGTAAGGGATTACTTGTCTGTCCCTTGTTGATCTCCATTCATTAGTCCAATGTCTACCTTTACCACACCTTCTGCATAATCCAGAAGGGAGGGGCATTCTGTTGGAATTTTTCCTTGAAAAAATATTATTTTTAGGAACGCCCACTTACAGTCCTTTTTCAGGTGACTTTGTTTACTGCAATTGAAACCTTTGAAATGAGTATTTCTCTTCAAACCTCTTGAAATCACATCTCCTATCCAAGCATCATCATGGTCATGAGGTTCAATATTGATTGAATTGAATGCATTCCTCCAAGGGTGCTGATCTTGCCTTTAATGGCCTAACTATCCTTTTCATTGTGCATTAGCATTTTCAAAAGCCAGAGATTCAATTATTACTTGTCTAGCTTCTGAATTCGGCATCATTCTGTTTACTGCTTAGGAACATGAATAGTCCTGTCTCCATCTGGCCATTTCTCTCCCTTTGCTAGACTGTGTCAATTGTCTGTTGATCTACCCTTAAGTTTAGGTGAGTGAGGAAGGAGCCAGAAACAGGGCAAAAATAAAACTACCTTCCTTTCAACATCCTGTTTTGTTTTATTCGTTCTTTCTTGTGAATGGTCCAGGAATATAGAAATATAGGAATAAGACAGGAATATAGGAACATAGGTATATAGGAATAAGACAGGAATATAGGAATAAGACAGGAATATAGGAATAAGACATTATAAGCAAAAGAGATGGACGCTGACAGGCATCAGCTCTGCCAGCAAATAGGGATTAACCTTTAACTAGGCCTTTCTTTGTTTTACGATGGGCAGCTCTGTCAGCAACCCAAATGTTATTTTTTCCCTGCAGCCCTGGGGTTAGCTATTCTCGATAACCCCCCCGCCCCGCCACTCACCACCAAAACCAAAGTTAACTTTCAATGAGTTCTTCTTGACAACCTGCTTTGCATTTTTTCATATTCTCCATGCCATGGGAGCCCAGATGTCAGGAAAAGTTGCAGGTTTGGGGCAAACATCAGTTAGCTATGTTGGGAAAGACTTCAGGAATATACACTTAGCAATGAGTTGAAACCCTCTAAAACCTTGTTAATGGAAAATTGTTAATCCTAAAAAGCAATTTATCTCTAAAAGTTTAACTTCAAAATAGTAAAAATTCTTCTGTCCATGCCTAATGTTTGCCCCTTACTATAAAAAGGGGCTCATAACGGCCCCCCTACAGTTGCTACAGTTACAGAATCCCGAACTCTGGCTGTGGTTTCAGCTAGCTGACAAGCCTTTTGTGTCCCACAGTGATTTTTTTGGAATAAAGTTTTGTTTCTGGTTTTCAACTGTGTGTGTGTGTGTTTTTTTTTTCAATATTTTTCGAGACAGGGTTTCTCTGTGTAGCTTTGCGCCTTTCCTGGGACTCACTTGGTAGCCCAGGCTGGCCTCAAACTCACAGAGATCCG